TTTTTTTTTTCTGTGTCATATATGGCAGTAGTGTTCTAGACATTGAAAAGTCAGCAGTGAGCAAGGCAGAGGTTTTGACTATGTAGGACATATTCTAGTGTAGTTCCTAAAAGTGTTTTTTATTTTATTTGAAGCAGAGTTGGAATTTATTAAGAAAGTTTTTTAAATTTGGTATGTGCATGTGTACATATGTGCCAAGGCATGTGTGTCATGTGTGTGTGTGTAGGTCAGAGGACACTTTTTGAGTGTCATTTATTTCTTTCCACCATGTGGACCCTGGGCATTGAACTCAAGTTGTTAGGCCTGGTCGCAAGATCACTTAAACATTGGGCCATCTCATTAGCCCAGGAGATTTTATTTAAATTTTAAGTATTTGGGTTAAGAGAAAAATGTCTAGTAATAAAGAATCATCTGATAATATGGGTCTGAGCTTCTCAAAGGAGAGTTATCTAAAAGTCTAGTTTAATTCGGAAGAACTTAAGACAAATTGGATCTAGATGTGGCTAATTTCTGAAACATTTTCCTTAAATATTTAGATCTAAATGCTAAAGAGAAGATGATTAAAGATATGCGATTGGCATTAGAAGAGCAAGAACAAACTCAAGTAGAGCAAGACCAGATGCTTGAGGCCAAACTAGAGGAGGCTGAATGGCTAGCTGCAGGTAAAGTAAAATTGCATTTCTCAAAACTTGGTCTTTTGCTTAACTTTTCCTTGATATCTTCCCTTTAAAAGTAGTGTAGAGTTTATAATGATTTATAATTGTATTTTTTGAATACCTTGGCATTTGTTATTTTCCACTGTGCTAAAAATTGTGAAACAGTATATCATAAAGGCATAAGGACACTCTATAATAACTTAGGAAGTTTACTTTGCAAGTAACAGTATTTTCAGACATTACTGAGTTCAATATTGTATAACTGTATTAATTCAATTATGAACCTAAAAATTTACAGCCACTTTTGAAAGAGATGTATTCTTGCTCTGGAGTGTGTTACTGAATATGTTAAAGCTGTAATGAAATGCTTCTTCTAATCATGTGGTTATTAAATTTTAAAAAAATTAAAAAATAATAATTCTTCAAAGCATAAAAATTTGCTTCTTAATAATTAGTGGATGTGAGAAACATTACCATTGAAATCTGCCTGATGACTTTATATCCATGCTCAGATGCCAAGGAGCTCAGAAAGTAACCAACTGTGGCTAGTAATAATCAGATATATACAGATTAGAAATGCATGTACAAACTTCTTAGTGTTAATTGCATTAAAAATGAATCTTTTTATATGAAACTATGTATTTTAATGAAACGGAGATCTTTTTTAAAGGTTAAAACCTCATTCAATTTTATGTCTTATAGGGTTTATACTGAGTACAATATTGTATAACTATTAATTCGACTGTAAACCTAAAGATTTACAGCCAATTTTGAAAGAGATACATCTTAGCTCTAGAAATTGTTATTGAATATGTCAATGCTGTTGTAATGAAATGCTTCTTCTAATGATGTAGTTATTAAATAAATAATTAAAAAAAAAGAATGCATTTTTTGAATATGTCAATGCTGTTGTAATGAAATGCTTCTTCTAATGATTTAGTTATTAAATAAATAATTAAAAAAAAAAGAATGCATATTTTAAAAAAGCAAGCTGGAGAGATGACTCAGCAGTAGGAGTACTTGGGGCACATGGCAGCTCACAACCCTGCTGTAACTCTACTTCTAGGGGAGCTAAGGTCCTCATGCATGTGGTGCATATATATATGTACATGCAGGCAAAAACACTTATACAAATAAAATTTAAAAAATCTAAAATTTAAAGATAAGCTTTGATTGATTCACATCTGCAAGCTTTTAGCATTATCTTACTTTTCGTACTAAGCATGGATTCCGTTGTATTCAGAGTACCATCCAATTCTTTCTAGCATCTGTGGAAAATTAGAAACTAATTTACTAATAATTAAACTAGTTATATTTTTTTATTGAATTTTTGCACTCTTCATACAATATAATTTGATGGTATTTAGGTCCCCTCCCTATGTGCACCTCTCCCCACTATCCAATAAATAATAAGAGCTATAGAATCTAATTTGTTTCTCCAAATGTCCTCCAGTGTGGGTCCATCATTGCTGTGAGTTCCTAAGAATAACTAATGTTTCTGCTCCCTCTTCCACAATGATCCCTAAGCCTTAGAAGGAAGATGTTCAATATAGGTGTACTATTCAGGGATAAGTACTCTGTAGCCTCTTGTTTTTTGCATGCTGACCAGTTGTGGGTTTCTGTGTTAATCACCATCTGCTGTATAAGGAAGCTTCTCTGGTGAGAACTGAAAGATGCATTACTCAATGGGTACAACGATAATAGGTATATTCTTGTATAAACCTCAAGAAATTATTTATTTACTTATTTTTAATATGTTCTGGTCCTGAATGCAGACCTCACACATGTTAGACAAGCACTGTATTGCTGAACTCAAGAAATTCAGAATTAGGAAATTGCCTATGATCACCTCCCCCCCGCCTTTCATTCTTCTTATTGTGCACAAAATTATTGGTTATTTTTTGGCATGCATTTTAAAAAATATATAGGTACAGATTTACATCTAAAGGCCTTATAAACATGGGTACCCTAATCAATTTTAAATCTTTTTAAAAGTATTTTCTCATTAATCTTTATCTTATTTCTTGTTCTATATCATGGTTAAAAGTAGACTAATTTTAAGTAATAATAACTTCTACTCCAGGATTTATGTTAACCATTTTACCACTATTGTCTCTTTTTTTTTTTAACTTTTAAAAAACTTTATTGAGAATTTCATACATGCACATAAGGTTTTTTTATCAAATGCATGCCCACCACTAACTGTCTAGCCTGTTCCTAACTCCTATTCATACCACACCATCTCCTGAAGAGGTTAGCCAAATTGCTGATAGGAATCAGGACGCAGACTGCTCTGGATGAATGGGGATACAGGGTGAGAAATTGGGGTACCCCTTTAGTGGGTCTATCTAAAAGGCTCCCAAATTGCATTTCATTACAACAGCATTAACCTATTCAATAACATTTTTCTGAGCTAGGGTACATCTC